ATTGCTGCCTGTCTGATTAAAACTCACTTTAAAGATTCAATTCCTGTCTCTACTTTATTGGCATTCTGTGACAGGTAGCCCGCACTCTGGTCTTCCGGTTACAATATGTATACTATTTTAGAAAAGAAAAGGTGTATTTATTTTCTACCAAGAACCCCATTCAGTATCTTTCCACAAAGGGCACCCTGAGACTACTGAATCTGGGAGAAAACCCATCTGGCCTAACGTTTGGTAGGATGTGAAAGACACAATACATTTTTTTTATCAGTGAGGATTCCCAATGAAGACACGGACAGACGAGGACTGAGCGTTATTACACACTATGAGGATCTTTATACAGCCAGGGAGACTAGGGGAGATGACAAAACTACGGAGATGACAAAACTAGATCATTCTGCCTCCCATTTAAGGTCTCAGTGAATCTCCAAAATACTTGGTTTTCTTAAGTCAGAAAGTTGCATCAACTCCTTTAGTTCTACTCAAAACAATCTTTACATATGCAAAACCCTGCTTAAAAAAAACAACAAACAAAATGTTCCTCCAGCCCCAGAGATCCAGCTTATGGTCTCCACCAAAAAGAAGGAAGACTTGGGCCTCCCCGGTGGCACTGCGGTTGAGCGCTGGGTTGCGAAGCTGCCCATGGCCTCTGCAGCGCCGGTTCGATCCCCGGCTGCTCCCCGGCCACCGGAGGAGGGTCCCACATGGCGAGCAGACCTCTCCTGCCGCCCGCTGCTCCCCTCAGCAGTGTGTTTCGGTCCTTCTGCCTGCTCTGCTCCCCGCTCTGGCTCTGGTGAATTCTCTCACCCTCCCGTGCTTCTGACTGTACCCAGTGCTTGTATAGACAAAAACAAACAAACAAACAATAAATAAAAAAAATAGAAAAAACATGCCTCTATTAAAAAAAAAAAAAAAAGAAGGAAGACTCCTTGACATATGGCTGGTTCCAGGACTGGAGCAGGAAATGGAAAGATGAGTCTAGAATGCTGCATCAACCTGAGAGCAAGGCTGTCATGGAAGACCAACAACATTGTGGCAAAAGACTGGGGTGGCAGTCTGGAGGCACTCCAGTTGGCCAAAGAAGGCACAGTGTAAGCATTAATCAGGATATTAACTATAAAGCGCTAGCTTTTTAGAGAAAACATCCTTGCCTCCTTTGAAAGGGTCACAGTAGGTCTGGAATAATAGGTAATAATTTAGGCTTACTGATCAAATTTATTAAAATAGATGTACTTTCCCACTGGACACTCCCACCTCCCTTTTCATTGCTTCATTCTCTTTTTTTATTTGCATAGAAGAACTGGGGTACAGGCCAGAGGTGCAGGGGGTGAGAGGATTCACCAGAGACAGAGTGGGGAACAAAACAGGCAGACTGACTGAAATACACTGCTGAGGGGAGCAGTGGGTGAGACCGGAGAGTCTGCTGCACCATGTGGGTTAGATCCCTGGTGGGGGATTTATCTCAGGCCATAGCCGTGATAGAGCTGAGACCTAATCAATAGGCTACAGAGAGGCCCTCATTAGTTCATTCCTAAGAAAATAAATAAGAAAAACCTCATCATTAGAGAACAACAGACCAATCTGTGGTTTTGCAAGCAAATAAACAGAATCAAACACAAGTACCAAGGATCAACCAAACTACACATGAGGGAAAGCTCTTCTACAGGAATATTCCAGCTAATAAATGAAAAATGAGTGACAGAATGCAGTTATATTACAACCCCCAATGAATCAATGCATTAGGCATCAGGTAACAATGGTCATTGATATCCCCCCCAAAATAGATAGAATTAATCTTGCAAAAAAAGGGGGTGATAAATGTGAGAAATCTCTAGATCCAAATACTACTTTCCTGGAAATTCAGAGGACTACATTATATGTATGCAGTCAGAAAAGTCTAGCTTGTGGGACCGACTGACAAGTTTCTTTAACAAAAAGAGTCTTAAAATACATAGTGACCTACAGCTCCTGTTTGTTAGAACAATTATAACATTTATGAGACAATTAGAAATCTGAGCACTGACTGGATACTTAATGATATTAAGGAATTGTCATAGGAATAACAGGTATCTTATGTATAATAAGGACACTTTAAAAACAAGTACAATACCATTCTATTTTTTTTAATACTGTCATAAAATTGAAAATTCCATTGATGATCTAGCCCCAAGTTTTAAAGTGGACTATCAGTACAACAAAGTTATGAGGAATCATAAATCTCCCTTTCCTGGGAATATCACTCTTTCAAAAAAAGAAAAAGATTCCCTGGGAACACTGAGAAAGTAGTTATCAGGAATTCAATTTCCTCATCTTAAAAATGTTAGGTTGATACAGAACGACTGAGGAAATAATGACAAATAACATTCGTCAAACTATTTCCAAGGATCTTCTGGCAACACACCATAGGGGGGAAAAAAATCATAGTTGGCACTAGTACATAGTCCCAAATCCTACTTACTACAAACTAGTGCCAGGCTGGAAACCTCCCGGAAGAGGTCTATTATTAAAAGAGCTGCAGATGTGTAGTGGAAATATACAACTACTACAATTTGATCTCAGCCTAATAACACTTACTTGCTATTCCATACCTAATTTTAAAAGTCAGATAAGGAAAAAAAGAAGTTTCCTTTACAAAGCTAGTGGGTTACATTTTAGGGAGTTATTCATGGTGTCTTAAATTCTCTAAGTACCTCAATTTCTAGAAATTTCAGAATATCCTTTGATTTGAGGTATATCTATACAATGTGTATATTTTTAGCCCACCCATTTTGCTTCTATTGAAAATACACACACACAAAAAGAAAATGTTACACACAAGCCTTTAGAAAAGCACTGAAAAAATCACCACACAAAGTATATCAAGACAAACACATGGGCCTCCCTGGTGGCACAACGGGTTGAGTGCAGCACTGTGAAGCTGTCCGCAGCCTCTGCAGTGCTGGTTCGATTCCCGGCCAACCAAGGAGATACCCACATGGCGCAGCAGACCTCTCCTGGCTCGCCTGCTGCTACCCTCAGTAGTGTCTTTGGTCCGTCTGCCTGTTCTGCTCTCCACTCTGTCTCTGGTGAATCCTCTCACCCTCCCGCACATCTGGCCCATACCCTGGTTCTTGTATAAATAAAAATAAATCTTAAAAAAAAAAAAATACATACTGCACAGGTGTGATCTTCTCTGAGGCTCTTGAGAAACATGGCAGTGTCACAAGCCCCACACATCGTGCTACTGAGGGCAAGTTTCTAATGTACCTTGCTAGTTTATTGATTCATTAATTCCTCAAACTCAAAAATCTCAGTCTTTGTGCAGACATCTGATAGTTCAGGAGAACAATAAATGTACTGAGACTCCTTTTTTTTTTTTAAAGATTTATTTATTTATATAAGAACCGGTGTAGTCAGATGCGCGAGAGGGATTCACCAGAGACAGAGTGGGGAACACAACAGGCAGATTGACAAAATACACTGCTGAGGGGAGCAGCAGGTGCAATAGGAGAGGTCTGCTGCACCATGTGGGACCCTCGCCGGCTGGCCGGGATTGAACCGTCGCTGCAGAGGCTGTGGACAGCTTCACAGCTCGGCGCTCAACTGCCTGCGCCACCAGGGTTGGCCCAAGACTCCTTTTTTTAAGAAAAAAAAAAAAAAAAAACAGAAAAAATGAACTTCCTAAATACCCAGAAACTCAGAAAGAAGGGAAAAAATTCATTTAAGTCAGTAGTAATCTTATCCAAATCAGTCATCATGAACAGCAACTTTTTTCAAGATTCTTACTGACTAAAGAGGAATTCTTTAAAGGGTCGAGTAAACATGTGCAATGTAATCAGTGTGCAGCATATGCAGACCCCAGGAGAGGACCCTGCAGCACCCGCCTACTGGCCTTGCACCTCTTCACGGCAGAGCCTTTTCTTAAACAGCTACTCATGCGTACTCGATTCCATTCAACAAATGTTTGATGAGCACATAGGGAAATTATTCATGCCTAATATGCTTGCTCTCAGCAATCCCACAGTTCTCAATAAAGCCAGCTTGCAGCTATATATTTCACATAACATGAAACTGTTTTGTTCTCATTTTACATGCAGGAATATAAAATCAGGGACAGGTTAAATCATTTCACTAAGTGAACATGCTACCAGGATTTATATATATATATATATATATATATATATATATATATATATATACTCAGTTCCAGGTTAGACTTCACATACCATTTACCCCTTATCTGTCGCATCCATTCTATCCTGTCCAGTCCTGTCAATTCTGACCCATTCCACATGCTCACATCACCCATCACCATCTTTCCACTAACCAGCCCTGGAGCACTTACTTACTTGTAGCAAGCATTGTCTTGGGAACTGTGCTGAATGAAAAGATGAAGGAGTGACAGGGAGGTTGACACCTAGAGGACTCGTGTTTTCATCTTTACCTTCAGCCTGTTTATCTTTACCATATGGCAGTTTCAAGATAATTTACACAAAGTGCAAATTATTCCAAAGACTCTTCCAGTGAAGACACATTCTCCAAAATCATATTTGGTAGGTTTAAAAATTCTAAGTATGAACAACTAGTAATAGAATAGAGATCACATAAATTATTTTGATAAGGTTTTCATACACCGCAAGTTCTAAAGATACAGTAAGCTTTGTCATTCTTTGCTACCTATAAAATCACATTTCTAAGTCTGACTTCATATGTGAAAGGTACAGTCATTCTACGGAGAATGGAGCTCTAGAATTATGTGTCATAGTTTATTGATTCAGGTTGAAGACCCATAAATATGGAGAAGGTACAGATATTATTTGTAATATTTTAAAAAATATACCAGAGGTTGAGCCATCTAGATTTTAATATCCAACAAAGAAAATGAAACAAATTTCATCCAACTAAGATCCTTTCATGACTAATCAGCTCATGAGAATGGTTCAACAGTAAGAACACAGCAAACACTAGGAACATTCTGAAGTCATCAGAATGTGTCTGGAGATGTCCACAGACTTCACACCTACCATAGTATCGTTGCTGATGGCATAAACCAGGACATCGGAGGAGTTCCTGCCATTGATGTAGTGGTAGCAGTTCCAAACAGAGTTGATCAGGCAAAGCTGAAAGGTAGTGGTGATTATGTCATCTTCTTTTTTCAAACTTCAGGCAATTTTAATCACCACAATAGATATAGGTATATTCTAAAGCTTCAATTTACATAAATTATAAATGTACTTAATAAGTATTAAACCAAAATAATGTGATTAAGAAATGTACATCCCCGCAGAGCAGAGGTGAGCTGGGAAGCACCCCCATGCCAGGCCCCACCTGGTCAGCAGTCCGAGCCCAGAGGGGAAGCAGGCAGCCAAGGCCGGGGCACACCATGCGCGCAGGAAAGTGAGTCTCCACCTTGCCATTTTATAATAGGGACCTTCCTTCAATAAAGACTGCTTGAAACAGGAAGAAGGCTCCCTGTGCAGTCAGAGGTGAGCTGAAGGCCCCCACAAGCCTGGTCCCACCTGGCAGGGAGTTGGAGCCCAGAGGGGGATTCAGCGATTTGGAGCCTAGAATGCAATCCAGCCACCCCTCCTCCAGGGAAGTCTGTGGGACTTCAAGACTCACCTTTGGAATTAAACAAACATAGAAGGAGGAGATATTCTGTGACAGCGACCATTAACATACTCAAAATATCACTGCCTCACTGGACTTCTGGCATAACAGTATTTGACTCGTTTGGACCGCCAGTTTCCAAAATCCCAGAAAGAGAACATCAAAAAGATGCCAGCCAGTACTAGCGACCAGTGTCCCAACACATAGGCCAAATTAGAAAACAGGCAGCAGGGAGAAGAAAAACTACATGCGACCTAGCAACTCCTCAGGAAAAAGACACACCACAAAAAGAAAACCACCCACCAGATTGCAACAACAGTGACTTGGAAGAACTTCTGAGCCTTCTAGAGAGAGAATTTAAAATTGCCATGATGAAAAAACTGACAGAAGTCATTAAAGAAAACAACACTTAGAAGAATGAAATTGAGTCCCTAAAGAGGGAAATGAAGGAAATGCAGGAGATCAAAGGATTAATGGAAGAGCTAAAGAACCCTGGGAAAAGCAGTGATAACAGAATAGATGAAATGGAAGAATGAATAAGCACTCTCGAAGACCCAGAAATAAAAAAAAGCAAAACAGAAAAGGAAAAAGAAGTACAAATGAAAAAGACTGAAGAAAGACTTTGGGAACTATCTGACTCCATGAGGAAAGGAAATATAAGAGTTATAGGAATCCCAGAAGGAGAAGAGAGAGACCTAGGAACAGAGAAAATATTCAAAGAAATAATTGAAGAGAACTTCCCAAACGTGAAGAAGGAGCTGAAAATAGACATACAAGAAGCACACCAAACTTCCATGATGAAAGGAAAAATACAGCAAGACACATAACAGTAAAGCTCCTGAGAATCCAAGACAAGGAAAAAATAATGAAGCCGACAAGAGGGAAGAAATAGATAACATTCAAAGGAAAACCAATCAGACTTCTCCAAACAAACACTATGGGCAAGGAGAGAATGGAGGGACATAGTAAACAGACTCCAAGACAACAAATGCCAAGCAAGAATACTCTATCCTGCAAAGCTTTCCTTCCTCTGTGAAGAAAGAATAAGGACCTTCCCAGACAAACAGAAACTCTGGAATTTCATTACGACTAAACCCCCACTCCAAAAAATACTACAAGGAGTTTTAAAGCCAGAACCAACAGAGGGATGAATAACAGCAAAACAAGGCCAAAAAAAAGTTATTAAAGAACAAATAAATAAAATCAGAGGAAAGACAAACACAATGACGAATACAGATGCTAACATATCAATATTAACTCTAAATGTAAACTCTTCAATAAAAAGACACAGAGTTACAGGTTGGATTAAGAAACAAAACCCAACCTTTTGCTGTCTCCAGGAAACACATTTAACTACAATAGATAAAAATAGACTCAAAGTTAAAGTATGGAAAACAATCCTACAAGCGAATGGACCAAAAAAGAAGGCAGAAACAGCTATACTTATATCAGATAAAACAGATTTCAAACTCAAAAAGGTAAAGAAGAGACCCCAACGGTCATTACATTATGATCAAGGGGACAATACTTCAAGAAGAAACATATACTCACCAAATGAAGGAGCACCAAAATATATCAGACAACTATTATCATCTCTGAAAACTGACATCAGAGAAAACACATATGTAGTAGGAGACTTCAACACACCACTATCAACAATGGATAGATCAACGAGACAAAAAATAAGTAAGGACACTAAAGCTCTAAATAAGGATCTAGAGCTCATGGGCTTAACAGACATCTATAGAACACTAAAACCAAAAAAAGTCTGAGTACACATTTCTCTCAAGCACACGCGGATCATTCTCTAGGATCGATCACATACTGGGACACAAGACAAACATCAACAGATACACCAAGATTGAAATCATACCAACTATCTTCTCTGACCATGAAGGCATCAAACCAGAAATAAACCATAAAAAGAAGGCAAGGAACTCTCCTACCTCATGGTGATTGAAACCCACACTACTGGAAGACCACTGGACTAATGAGGAGATCAAAGAAAAAATTAAAAAATACTTTGAGTTGAATGACAAGGAGGACACCCATTTCCTAAATGTATGGGATGCAGCAAAAGCAGTAATAAGAGGAAAATATATAGCAATAGAGGTTCACATCAAAAAACAAGAAAGAACTCAAAGAAACAACCTATTCTCAAAGCTCAAAGAACTAGAAAAAGAACAAAAAAACCCCAAAACCAGCAGAAGAAAAGAAATAATAAAAATCAAAGCAGAAATAAATGAAATCGAAACTAAAAAAACAATCCAAAAGATCAATGAAACCAAAAACTGGTTCTTCCAAAAAATAAATAAAATAGACAAACTCCTAGGCAGGCTCACAGAGGAAAAAGCTCACAGAGGAAAAAAAAAAAAAAACGAGAGAAAGCACAAATAAATAGGATCACAAATGACAGAGGAGGAATCACAACAGACATAGCAGAAATCAAAAGAATAATCAGAAACTACTATGAACAGTTATATGCAAACAAGTTCAACAATCTAGAAGGGATGGACAAATTCCTACAACTCTACAATCACCCAAAGCTAGATAAAGAAGAAAGAGAACATTTAAACAGACCAATTACAAGCAGAGAAATTGAAATAATAATCAAAAACCTCCCAAAAAACAAAAGCCCAGGACCGGATGGATTTACAAATGAATTCTACCAAACATTCAGAGACGAATTAGTGCCTATCCTTCACAAACTCTTTCAAAAAATTGAGAAGGAAAGAATAATACCAAATACATTCTATGAAGCCAACATTACACTAATACCAAAACTGAACAAGGACAAAACAAAAAAAATAAACTACAGGCCAATCTCCCTAATGAACACGGATGCAAAAATCCTCAATAAAATTTTAGCTATCAGAATCCAACAATGTATCCATAAGATAATTCACCATGACCAAGTAGGATTTATTCCAGGGACACAAGGATGGTTCAACATCCAAATGTTGATTGCAATGTTATCCAACACATCAACAAAAAGAAATATAAAAACCATATGATAAGGGCCTCCCCGGTGGCGCAGCGGTTGAGCGCTGGCTTGCGAAGCTGCCCGCGGCCTCTGCGGCGCCGGTTTGATCCCCGGCTGCTCCCCAGCCACTGGAGGAGGGTCCCACATGGCGCGCAGACCTCTCCTGCCGCCCACTGCTCCCCTCAGCAGTGTACTTTGGTCCTTCTGCCTGTTCTGCTCCCCGCTCTGGCTCTGGTGAATTCTCTCACCCTTCCACGCTTCTGACTGTACCCAGTGCATGTATAAACAAACAAACAAACAAACAAACAAATAAAAAAAAAAAACCATATGATAATATCTATAAATGCTGAGAAAGCTTTTGACAAAGTACAACACCCATTTATGACAAAGGCCCTTGAAATTCTTGGGATACAAGGAACATACCTCAACATCATAAAGGCCAGATATGACAAGCCCATAGCCAGTATCATTTTCAATGGTGAAAAGCTGAAAGCATTTCTATTAAGATCTGGAACAAGACAAGGATGTCCACTCTCACCACTGCTTTTCAATATAATACTGGAAGTCCCAGCCAGAGCAATAAGAAAAAGACATACAAGGAGTCCAAATAGGGAAGGAAGAAGTTAAACTATCACTATTCACAGATGATATGATAATATACATAGAGAACCCCAAAAACTCCACAGAAAAACTACTTCAACTAATCAGTTTAGTAAAGTGGCAGGATACAAAATCAACACGCAAAACTCAGTAGCCTTGCTATACACAAACAATAAATCTGAAGAAGAAGAAATAAAAAAACCATCCCTTTTATTATTGAAACAAAAAATCGAATACTTGGGAATAAACCTAACAAAAGAGGTAAAGGACCTATACAAAGAAAACTATAAAACACTGTTAAAAGAAATAGAAAAAGACACAAAGAAATGGAAAGACATCCCCTGCTCATGGATTGGAAGAATTAACATTATTAAAATGGCCATCCTACCAAAAGCAATTAAAGATTCAATGCTATTCCAGTAAAAATTTCAATGACATTCTTCAAAGAAATAGAATAATTATTGATGAAATTCATATGGAATCACCAAAAACCCTGAATAGCCAAAGCTCTCCTGAAAAAAAAAAAGAAGGGAATGGGGGCATCACACTCCCAGACTTCAAAGCCATAATCATCAAAACTGCATGGTATTGGAACAAGAACAGACACACGGACCAATGGAACCAAACAGAAAATCCAGAAATAAACCCACAGATTTATTGTCAACTAATCTTTGACAAAGGAGCAAAGAATATGCACTGGAGCAAAGAAAGTTTGTTCAATAAATGGTGCTGGGAAAACTGGGTCACTACATGCAAAAGAATGAAGCTTGACTACAACCTCACATCATGCACAAAAACCAGCTCAAAATGGATTAAAGAACTAGACATAAGACCTGAAACCATAAAATACATAGAAGGAAATATAGGCAAAACACTACATGATATGCATCTCAAAGACATCTTTACAGACACATCACCCAAAGCAGAGACAGTAAAAGCAAAGATAAACAGCTGGGACTACATCAAATTAAAGAGCTTCTGCACAGCAAAAGAGACAATAACCAAAACAAAGAGAAATCCCACTGACTGGGAGAAAATTTTTGCACACAACACTAATGATAAAGGACTGATCACAAAAATCTACAATGAGCTGATGAGACTCAGCAAAAACAAAGAAAAGAATCCAGTCAAAAAAATGTGTAGAAGAGCTAAAAAGAAACTTCTCTGAAGAAGAAATACAAATGGCCAACAGGCATATGAAAGAATGTTCAACATCACTTGTAATCAGGGAAATGCAAATCAAAACTACCATGAGATACCATCTCACACCAGTGAGAATGGCACATATTAAAAAAACTAGCAACAACAAATGTTGGCGAGGTTGTGGAGAAAAAGGAACTCTCCTGCATTGCTGGTGGGAGTGCAAACTGGTCCAACCACTGTGGAGAGCTATGTGGCAATTTCTTGACCTACTAAAGACAGAGCATCCATATGATCCAGCAATTCCACTCCTGGGTACTTACCCAAATGACACAAACATTAATTCCAAAGGGCACCTGCACCCCTATGTTTATAGCAGCACTATTTACAATAGCTAAGCTATGGAAACAACCCAAATGTCCAAAAATAGATGGCTGGATCAAGAAGATGTGGTACATATACACCATGGAATATTACTCAGCATTCAAAAAAGATAAACACATGCAATTTGCAGCAACATGGATGGCGCTGGAAGGGATCATGCTCAGCGAAATAAGCCAGAAAGAAAAAGAAAAATACCGGATGGTCTCACTCATAGCAGGAATCTAGAAAACTTAAATAAAGGACCAGGAAAATGAATAACTATAAGAAAGAAAATATCAAAATCAACAAAAAACTATGAACCAGAGACACTCTATGGGGGATGGGGGGCAGGGAAAAGAGGGATTGGGGTCAAAATATGGGGGTTGTAATTGTATGGGGAATATAAAAATAAAATTTCAATTAAAAAAAAAGATGTGGTATATATACACAATGGACTATTACTCAGCAATCAAAAAAGATAAACATATGCAGTTTGCAGCAACATGGATGGAGCTAGAAGGGATCATGCTCAGTGAAATAAGTCAGAAAGAAAAAGAAAAATACCGATGGTCTCACTCATAGCAGAAATTTAGAAAACCTAAATAAGGGACCAGGAAAAAGACTAATTAATACAAAGTAAATATCAAAATCAACAAGCAACTATAAACCAGAGACACACTAAGGGTGGGGAGAGGAAGGACTAGGGTCAAAATAAGGGGGGGGTGCAATTGTATGGGGACTATAACCAAAATGAAAATGCATACATTGTGCAAAAATGAAAAATGATCTAAGAATTACATAAAATAAAAAAAAAGAAATGAAATATACAATTGTTGGGTCTAGTAACTTCCTAGCAAAGATGCTACTACTGTAGCTTTGTTCTATTACACTACCCTCAAAGTTGGCAGAGGCACTGAGAGCAAAATTAGAAATTTCTAACGAAAAGTAGTTGGAAAAAACCTTACTCCCAAATTTACTAAATCTTCCATTTACTCAACAATGCTACTGTTTCTTTATTGAATAAAAAAAATCCTTAGACCTTTTGAGAATTATAATACAAATAAAAAAGGAAAGTGAGGGTAGAGAATTCACCAGAGCCAGAGCGAGGAACAGAATAGACAGACTGACAAAATACACTGATGAGGGGAGCAGTGGGCGCAGCAGGAGAGGTCTGCGCACCATGTGGGGACCCTTGCCGGCGGCCAGGGATGTAACTGGCGCTGTGGAGGCTGCCGGCAGGGGCTCAACTTCTGCACCACCAGGGGAGGCCCTAGAATGACATTCTTAACAGAAAGGTTAAACAGCAGAAGGGAAGTGCCCAGGGTCTGGAATTTCATAAGCCCAGAATTCCCAGGACCCCTTGCAACACCAGGTGCATTCACTTATTAAACACTCCAAAAAGGAAAATAAACCCTGGCCTGTTGTCTCAAAAACGAATATTCCATTATTCTAATGACCTTATTCTTACTTGACAGCTCTGTAATCTCGAATAGAGAAATAAATATTTAATATATTTCTCAAACTTGCATTGACATACTACATCCATCATCTACTTGCCAGGGGGGAAGCACTGCTCCCTTTATTGTCTTTGGGCAGAAGGAAACTGCAAATGTCCTGGCTTGGGGACATGTAAATATTGAAATATTCAGAATGGTGTTTTATGGAGGAAAATATAGACCTAAACGATTTTCATTCTCTTTCTACTTCTCTTCATCATATTTCCTTCTTAAAATGATTTTTCTCCCTACATTCAGCTTCCACAAATATACTAAGACTTGCTTTTTGAATAATTAGTTAATTTATGCCAAAACAAATGAAGGATATTAAGAATTAAAAGTTTAAAGTCTAGTAACCTTTTGAAAATTCTGAAATTACTAGCATCAGGCAAGCCCAAATTATGGTGTTTTTAATTATTAGGTTGACAAAGACAAAAAAGAGTAGACAGCACTTAATTGATGAGGTAAGGGAAACACTGCTGATGAGGGTGTTAAGTCAACTTTGGGGGAGATCAATCTGACAACCTATCAAAGTCTTCAAATTATGCATACATTCTAGCTTTAGGAGATGTATCTTGAGATGCATGAAATATATTCATTGTAGCACCATGATCAGAGAAAAAGTAGAAACCACCTCATTGTCCTGTCCAGCAGTAGGCAATTTATTAAAAAATGATAAATTCATGTAATAGACTGATATAGAATATTCAGAATGTATCACATCATAAAAACTTCTTTTGTATGTTTACATACATTGTGTTGGATGCTGTGCTATACTATACATGCTGGGTAATGTACAACATATTAACTTATTCCCATCCAAATAGATTCTGGAATAACCCTTGTTTAGCCTAAGGAAGCTTTGTTAGTGTTTATCTCTAATGTGGATAAAAGAGTAACAGAATTATTAGGAAATCAAAAAACACTTACTTAGTTACCTAAAGCAAGATATTGAACTGACTGAGTGAAGACAGCTGACTCCTTTGGCATTCATGAATATGTTTAATAATGTTTAAATCATAAATAAATTATTCATGCTTACCTTAATTAACAAGATAACGATGACAAACAGGAAAATAATAATGTCCAAATAGGGAGGCTCCATTGACATAATATCATCTCTGTAGGGAAAATTAGGAGGCTGCAAAGGAAAATGTCTCATTAGCAAACCTCATGAATCAATCTATCATTGTATTCCATCAGCATTAACTAGAGGGACTTATCAGAAAGCAATTAGTTAAAGCAGCAGAGTTATCAGGTAAGACCAGTACAATATTCCTACCTTACCTCTACTAATGACGAAGTTACAGTATGTTGGGGGAACGATAAGTCTGTTCCTATCAGACAATCACTCACAAAAAGAAAAATCTGCAGGGCAAGTTGGCAAAACCTATTGAAACAGAGTCTTTATATAGAGAGTGATTTGCTGATGCTGTTTCAAAAAGCAAAATCTCTTATACTAGTAGGTAGTATTCACAGCATTAAAAAAAAAAAAGGTCAAGACTTACCACCTGACCACACAAATTAATTACCAGGTCAAAAGAAACCTTTATGATGAGGATTAAAAACTGTTACTATGGTCAGTGTCACAGAACTTCACTGTGAATCCACTGCACAGCACTGATCCAAGTCCTCCCTTTAACTGGCCTAGATAAATGGGCAGGGAAGGGAGACCAAGATATTATGTGAACTGTTATCATGCAATGCTATCTGTTTGGATTACACATTAGCAGTATTCTGAGACATAACACACAATTTGGAAATGTTAAGGAAGACTATGAAGAAAGCTCTTGATTTCTGTGCTTGGCTCCTCCTCCCCAGCGTGAACAATATCCAATAGTTTGGGGAAAAAAACCTAAAAAGTAAAATCAAAGTCACTCTGTTATCTAGTCATGAAATTGGTCCTTCCCCTTGGTGCCTGGAAATACTGGTTGTACTGATAATAAAGGGTAATAATAAAACAAATTATTGCTTTCTCAAGACCAGCATGAAATCTACTGTTCCATGTACGATAGAAAAAGGGGTTAAGGGTTAAAGTGGGAGTATGTGAGCCTATCCAAAAAGATCTCTACACTCTATTCCCCCCAGAAAACTGAACATAGTTTCTATGTCCAGTTCAGACCTAAAAAACCACATGCACAACTTATTTAAACTGCATTTTACAAGACTTCACATAAACAGAACAGGCATTAGAATTAAGCAGTTGCTGCCCTGCTCCCCCACCCTTCTCAGATAACAGTCTCTCCAGACTCATCTCTCCACTTGTCAACAAGGGACCCATACCAGAGGTATTTAACACTCCAGACACTGCTGTCCCTGAGGCCTTGCAGCAGACCTCACCTTCCCAATCTAGACTGATCTTTAACTAGAACAAATGGAAGATACTTACTTGTATTATTTGGTTTGCAACTGCAAATAAAAATGGGCGGTGACTTTTTTGATAACTGATAACACAATTACTGTGAGCATCACAAACACTATCAGCTTACCACTGGTGGCTCTAAAGCAAATGAGTATGGAGTAACTGAACAATATGGGCTATGATGAAAGTGTAGGTAGTATTCTAATGTTCTGCACGCTTGCCTACATTTTAGGCTTTGTACTCCTTATAAATCTCTGTAATAGATGGAACGTAGCACACAATACACTAATCATATAGTCCTGGGGCTGCCACATGGCTTTTCTTACCCAGTGTCACCCTTCCCCAGCCCCTCAAACGGCAGTCTGTGCTGAGATTATGTTTCTCTCATGCTTCCAAGGTTGATTTTAGGAACCGAGTACCAGATCATCGTTACACAGTAAAAACCCAGACCTTAAAAAGAGGTAATTCTACAACCTGCTTATCAAAGATAAGCCCCTTCATGCAGAAACACTTGACTGTACCACCTGGGACAATATGTAAAATTAGGACATGGGAAATACTTAAAAATTCTCAATACTACATTCTACCCAAACATGGACCTGTTCCTAAAATAAAGAGAAGCAGTTACTAACAAGCATGACAGCCACAACAATGACTTTCAAGAAGCGAAACTTTTCAAGCTAAGTGTGCTGGATCTCAGTTAATGATCTGGGGGCATTACTGCCAGCAAGATCAAAAACTTCTGTTCCCATATCTCTCCAGCCCCACCTCTATACCCTCTACCCACTCCATGTCTCTCTTTCCACTGAATTTCTTGACTTCCATTGTCACATTGAATACCCCACCTCAACTCTCACATCTCAGAAAAGTCTAGCTCCTCCCCTCATGCTTAGATAATACCATTAAAATCTCCAAAGAGTGAAAGGTCTGTTTAAAACATTCTAAGATTTTGAAAAAATTAAATGTTAAGGTTTTCACCATTTCCATTTAAAAGAGAAAATTTCAAAAATGTGAAGACACAGAAGTTTTCTGATCTCATACCGCCACAAGCTTCTTAATGAGCAGTCACCAATATTTGCTTATGTGGGCACAAAGGACAGACATTTAAGGGAAAACTTGATCCAAAGATGCTTGGAGAAAAAAAGGGGGTTCTAAGGTTAAATAAGTTTGGGATCTATTGTAGAGTTCTACTTTTCCCATAACAGCAAAGACAAAAGCCATCTTTTGTTAATAAATGGAGTAAATTGTATTTTACTAACATTAAGATAATTAATAATTAGTTTGTAATTTAGGTAGGTGAATCTAATATTATCATCATAGTCCCCAACTTATCTGCCTCAGGAGAGAGCCCAGATACCTTTCTCAGGCTAGCTCAATCTTCCCAAAAAGCATTCTAAGGATCTGCAAGAAAACATTCAAGCTTCTCTAATCACTAACTCAGATGCAAGTGAAAAGCCCACAGATTAACCTGTGTGTGTACGCTTATCACCATACCTACAGCTTCCGTACCTCACCACGTTTCATGAAGAGACACAGTAACTGGGACACCACGTACCAGCTGTCGGATGAATTCCGGGGTGGAGTATGGATAAACGACCATAGTGAATACAGCAAAGGTGATCAGGGCAAAATCAAAGATCTGGTAACAGAAGAACGGGATGATCCAAACAGCGTGTTGCTAAACATGAGAGAAAACAGGACATGCATGTGTTCAATATTACAAAACACTTGCAGCTGACTTCAGAGACATCTTTTTTTAATCTGAATGGAAATGGAGGAATAGAAATTCATTGAACCAGGTCTCAATGGCAACTGGCACGCCAGAGAGAAGCAGTCCAAATGAGCCTCAGTGAACATTTCTGCTACTATAATACTGGTTTTCCCAAAACTGCCTAATATTAGTGAGAGATTTAATCTTGCAAACATTCTTATGGGAAACTGAGAATAACTATTCCTCACAGATCACACAAATAAGGGACAGGGGAAAAGACCCAGCACCTTATTCCAATGCTGCTTACCTTGTATGCTCCATAAGTAGCCATTGTGCCTACCAGGAATAGGAGAAGAGAAACTGCAATAGTAATCCACATTTCTGCCAAAAAAGTAAAAACAATAACAAAAAAAGATAATCAGTAATAGAAATACTGTTTAAAGATTTTGCAGTCTTTCTTTAAATGCATTCTGTTTATAAACCAATTCTAAGTGAGAGCTTTACATTAAGTAAACCACCAGAGTTCTTCTGGGTTTTGAGAAGATGATAGTTAATGAAAGTTAAATGCCCCAAAGATGGTCACCGTAGACATCATATTAATGTCTAATTAAGAGATGGAATTTACACATAAGTTTCTTCAAAAATAGAAAGACAATGGTTATGGATATTTTTTAAAAAACTTAGTCTTTCCACCCACTGAATTCTACATATATATAAAATGAATCAGGTAGTACTCTAACATATAGGAGTCTGACTTATATTTTATAAACCTATGTTTGTCAAGTCTCTATTAAAATGCTCACCAGGGCCTCCCCTGGTGGCGCAGATGGTTGAGAGCAGCGCTGTGAGGTTGTCCACAGCCTCTGCAGCACTGGTGTGATCCGGGCTGGCCGGCAAGGGTCCACATGGGGTGGCAGACCTCTCCTGTCTCCCCTGCTGCTCCCCTCAGCAGTGTATTTCAGTCAGTCTGCCTGTTCTTTTCCCCGCTCTGTTTCTGGTGAATCCTCTTACCCTCCCGCGCATCTGGCCTGTACCCCAGTTCTTGTGTAAATGAATAAAGAAATCTTTAAAAAAAAAATAATAATAAATAAATAAAATGCTCACTGGCTTAGCAACTCATTTAAAATAGAAGTTTAATTTCTTATCACAGCCTTTATGTCTGTTTATCCTAAGCATGCCCACCTCTTTAATCTCAGCCCCCCACGTCTCCACACTTTCTTGCACACTATAATCCAGTCACACCTCCTGGTTCCCTACACAGCAAGATCATCCCAATGAAGTGCTTTGTGTTTGTAGTTCCCACTGACCACAAGAAAAGCTCACTAAGAGATGGTCCCTGAGTATTCTAGCTCAAGTAGCCTCTCAGCACCTCCACCTTGGAATGTGTTTTCTCCACAGCACATAGAGCACTAGCACCTTATTTCTATTTGCTGTGTATTGTTTATCACCCTCTGCTAGAGGAACTTCCTGAGGGAAAGGCTTTTTTTCTAGCTAGTTCACTACTACAGCCCCAATATCAAAAAGGTGACTGAAACCCAATACAGTTGCTACTACTAAAACGAGGGCATTGAAATGTGGTCAACATGAACTGAAATGTGCTGTAGGCTTCAATTATATTCCAGATTTTTTTTAAAAGTTTTTTTTTTTTTTGAGATTTATTCATTTATTTATACAAGCACTGGGTATAGTCAGAAGCGCAGGGGGGTAAGAGAATTCACCAGAGCCAGAACGGGGAACAGAACAGGCAGACTGATGAAATACACTGCTGAAGGGAGCAGCGGGCAGCAGGAGAGGTCTGCTCGCCATGTGGGACCCTCGCCGGGGATCGAACCAGTGCTGCAGAGGCTGTGAGCAGCTTCGCAGCCCAGCGCTCAACGGCTGCACCACCAGGGGAGGCCCTATATTCCAGATTTTAAGGACTTGGCACCAAAAAAAAAGTAAAATATCTCATTTATAATTTTTATACCAATTATATGCTGAAACTATTTTGGTCATGAGTTAAATAAAATAAACTTTTAAAAAATAAACCATTATTAATCTCACTTGTTTCTTTTTTCCTTTTTTTTTTAATGAGGCTACAAGAAATTTTTAAATTACATGTGTTTTATTTAAAATTACTTGCATTAGGAACCAGGCGCCCAGGCACGGGAGCGGTGCAAAAGGCGCCATTCCTGCGCCACTGAACTGGGCTACAGCCCGCGTCCTGGAACTGAGGGCTTGAACTGAGACCCGGGGCACGAAAATTCGGGGCGTGGTTTCTCCACGACGGTGGGGCACAAGGCAGACACAGCACCCCAAAGCTGTTGAGGTGTACCCTACCATTCCCGCTCTGTTCTCTGTCCCACGGGGTGGGGGGAGGCGAAAAACAGCCCCCCAAGGACAATAGGAGAGATCTCTGGCGCCACCTAGCGACCAGGAAAAAAAAAAGTCACTAACACCCTATAAAACAGGACATTTCTTAAGACTGCTTGAAAAGGGCAGAAGGTTTCTGGAGGACCCAGTGGCCAGCCGGGAAGTTATTCCACGCCAGGCCCCTTCCGACCAGCAGTCTGAGCCCACAGAGGGAGCAGGCACCCACGTCCGGGGCAGACCGGGTGCGCAGAAGAGTGTGCCTGAAACCGGAGGCGCAGGGACTGCATCCCGCTTCGCCATTTGAGAACAGGGACATTTCTTCAGTAAAAACTGCCTAAAACCAGCAGAAAGCTCCCCCAGAAGACAGAGATGGCTCCTGGAAGAGCCAGAGGGGAGCGGAGAAGTTCACCCAAGATGTCAGTCAGTCCGAGCAACACAGTGTCCCAACGCATACGACAAATTAGAAAACAGACAGTAGGGAGTAGAAGAACCACACGCAACCTAAAAACTCCTCAGGAAAGAAGCACACCACAAAAAGAAAACCACTCCCAGATTGCAACGACAGCAACTTGGAAGAACTTCTGAGCCTTCCAGAAAGAGAATTAAAATTGCCATGATTAAAAAAGTGATAGATCAGAAGAAGGAAATTGAGTCCCTAAAGAGGGAAGTAAGAGAAATGCAGGAGATCAAAGAATTAATGGAGGAACTAAAGAACTCTGGGAAAAGCAATGAAAGCAGAATAGATGAAATGGAAGAACGAATAAGTAATCTTGAAGACACAGAAATAAAAAGAACCAAAACAGAAAAGGAAAGAGAAGTACGAAGGAAAAAGAATGAAGAAAGACTTCGGGAACTATCTGACTCCATGAGGAAAGGAAATATAAGAGTTATAGGAATTCCAGAAGGAGAGGAGAGAGATGTAGGAACAGAGAAAATATTCATGGATATAATTGAAGAGAACTTCCCAAATGAGAAGAAGGAGCTGAAAATTGATATACAAGAAGCAAGAAGAACACCAAACTTCCACGACAAAAGGAAAACACAGCAAGACACATAATAGTAAAACTCCCAAGAATCCAGGACAAGGAAAAAATAATGAAGCTGACAAAGGAAGAAACAGATAACATCAAAGGAAAACCAATCAGGCTGACATCAGACTTCTCTGAAGAAACACTACGGGCAAGGAGAGAGTGGAGGGACATAGTCAACAGACTCCAAGAAAACAGATGCCAACCAAGAATACTCTATCCCGCAAAGCTCTCTTTCCTCCATGAAGAAAGAATATGGACCTTCCCAGACAAAGAGAAAGTCCGGAATTTCATTGCGACTAAACCCCCACTCCAAAAAATACTACAAGGAATCCTAAAGCCAGAACCTCAGAGGGACGAATAACAACGAAAGAAGACCAAAAAAAAAAAAAAGTTATTAAAAGAATAAATAAATAAAATCAAAGGAAAGACAAACATAATGGCAAATACAGATGCTAACATATCAATATTAACTCTAAATGTAAATGGACTAAACTCTTCAATAAAAAGACACAGAGTTGCAGCCTGGATTAAGAAACAAAACCCAACCTTTTGCTGTCTCCAGGAAACACATTTAGCTACAAAAGATAAAAATAGGCTCAAAGTCAAAGGATGGAAAACAATCCTACAAGCAAATGGGCCAAAAAAGAAAGCAGGAACAGCTATACTTATATCAGATAAAACAGACTTCAAACTCAAAAAAATAAAAAGAGACCCCAATGGTCACTACATTATGATTAAGGGGACAATACTTCAAGAAGAAATAACACTCATTAACATATACTCACCAAACGAAAGAGCACCAAAATATATCAGACAACTGTTGTCCTCTCTGAAAACAGACATCAGAGAAAACACATACGTAGTGGGAGACTTCAACACACCACTATCAACAATGGATAGATCAACAAGACAAAAAATAAGTAAAGAAACTAAAGCTCTAAATAAGGACCTAGAGCATTTGGGCTTAACAGACATCTATAGAACACTAAACCCAAAAAAAACGGAGTACACATTTTTCTCAAGCGCACACGGATCATTCTCCAGGATCGATCACATACTGGGGCACAAGACAAACATCAACAGATACACCAAGATTGAAATCATACCAACCATCTTTTCTGACCACGAAGGCATCAAACTAGAAATAAATCATAAAAAGAAGGCAAGGAACTATCCTACCTCATGGAGATTAAAAGCCACACTACTGGAAGACCACTGGACTAACGAGGAGATCAAAGAAGAAATTAAAAAATTCTTTGAATTGAATGACAAGGAGGACACCAATATCCTAAATGTATGGGATGCAGCAAAAGCAGTAATAAGAGGAAAATATATAGCAATAGAAGCTCACATCAAAAAACAAGAAAGAACTCAAAGAAACAACCTAATCTCGAAGCTCAAAGATCTAGAAAAAGAACAACAAAAAACCCCAGAACCAGTAGAAGAAAAGAAATAATAAAAACCAAAGCAGAAATAAATGAAATTGAAACTAAAAAAACAATCCAAAAGATCAATGAAACCAAGAGCTGGTTCTTTGAAAAAATAAATAAAATAGACAAACCCCTAGCCAGGCTCACAAAGGAAAAAAGGGAGAAAGCACAAATACACAGAATCATAAATGAAAGAGGAGAAATCACAACGGACACAGCAGAAATCAAAAGAATAATCAGTAACTACTATGAACAGTTATATGGAAACAAGTTCAACAATCTAGAGGAGATGGACAAATTCCTACAACTCTACAATCACCCAAAGCTAGATAAAGAAGAAATAGAACACCTAAACAGACCAATTACAAGCAGCGAAATTGAAATGGTAATTAAAAACCTCCCCAAAAACAAAAGCCCAGGACCTGATGGATTTACAAATGAATTCTACCAAACATTCAGAGACGAATTAGTGCCTATCCTTCACAAACTCTTCCAAAAAATTGAGAAGGAAGGGACAATACCAAACACGTTCTATGAAGCCAATATTACACTAATACCAAAACCGAAT